GAGAGAGAGAGAGAGAGAGAGAGAGAGAGAGAGAGAGAGAGAGAGAGAGAGAGAGAGAGAGAGAGAACGGCAAAGGTCAGTCATGTCGATGGATCGGCGAAATGGGGCGTGGTGGATTGCAGTATAAAGTAGCGGGTTTGGGTCATCATTATTAAAGACAAATAATGGACAATGATTGATCCTTTCTGGTCAAGCAGAAAAAAAAAAACGATGATACTAGGTAGTTAGGGAGTTGCAGACGACTCGTTAAAATCCGTTTGGACCCTCGTTTTGCGCAGGGTGTCCAACAACCCCCTCCGATCCGCAAAATGAGGGTTCATTTGGGCCCTCGTTTTGTGGATCGGAGGGGGTTGTTGGAGACCCCACCTCTCTGACATAATCCCAAAATTCACCACTCAGTCAATACTCCATCGGTAAACCATGAATCCCATTTCTGTTGATTTTTTCTTTTTTCCCCCCCCGAAACAAATCATTTCATTTCCAGACTGAAAATTTCTGTTGATTCATTCTTCTTTTCTTATATAAGTTCTACTCAAGAAATTCTTGGAAAAAAAAACCATGTGATAATTCTGTTTTATCATCTTTTATTATTATGATATTTTTCTACAATTTTTTTTTCTAGAAGACGATGGTCAGTAATTTTTCGAGGGCGGATTGGAGCCGATGAATTTCCACGAAAAAAAATGCAAGCGAAAAAGAGGGACAGAAACCGAAAGGAAAAGTAATTGGAAAAAAAAAAAAAAAAAAGTAATGGAAAAAGGAGGAGAGCGTAGTTCAGGAAGGTTGAATGAGTTTGGTTAGACTCCTGGGCGTGAGTGGGGGCATCATATACTCTCATTAGATCATTTTCGACAAAGCTCTGGACGTGATTGCGGTCAGATTCATCCAGCTCTGGCAGTAATTGCAGTCAGATACATTCAGGAAAGTGCCAGTGTGAGTATGCCCTGAGTTTGAGTTTGGTTAGACTCTCTTGGTCCTCGCTCCATCCCACAACGACGTTATTAATTAATGGACCTGTACAGCATTGTGTGTATCCAAATGCATCTGGACTTGATCCAACATGTTGAAGGTATCGGGGCCAGCAACAGAACCAGATACATTCAAAATATTGTGCAGTGGATCGGGGACTTGATCCAACATGTTGAAGGTATCGGGCCCAGCAACAGAACCAGATACATTCAAAATATTGTGCAGTGGATCGGGGACTTTTGTTCCACTACAGTAATTCCCCGAAACTACGCTCAACTACCCTTCGCGGCATCCCTGATTACCACCCCCCGTGTCTTCCACCGAACATAACGCGTACGCGTTGTAAACGAATAACCGCGTAGGTTGCTCTCTATTCGAACGACGCGTATGCGTTCTTAAATTTTTCAATTACAGACGGTGTTTTCGAATACAACGCATATGTTTTCTATTCAACTTTTCGATTTTTCCGAAAAAAAACGCAAATACAACGCATATGCGTTCTGTTCGGTGGAAGATGGGTAGGTAGCCCTGGCCTCTCCTAGCCTGGCCCGTTGGATTGACCATCGGCGGATATATGGCAAATCTAACGACCCTGCCATCTTTACCTCGAACAGAACGCACCACGGTCATTACGGTATCATCGGCGCCCCGAATGGAACGCACCACGGTCATTATCATCGGCGTGCGTAGACTGGATTATGCCCCAAATATTGCGGTATATAATGGCCGTGCGCTCTACTCGCGGGAAGACGGTACCCCCCCCCCCGGGGCACCCAGAAGTGGGAGCCGCCCTGGAGCGAGGTCCTGCCGGTTTGTTGGCTTTTATGCGAAGTTCATAGATCGCCATCGCGATCGGGATCGAGTTCTGGCCATTCGAAGCTCCCCTCCTACTTCACTATTTTACAGTATTTGCTAATTTATTTTTTTATTTACTTATGCAAACTGATGACTCTCTCTTGACTTACTATTGATGCAGCTTTTGAGAATCGCGCGCGGGAGCTGAGTGGACGCGTGTTCAAAGCAGAACAAGAGAACGCTTTTACTACGCGGATTGAATGAGGATGCGGACGACGGACGGCTGATCTCATGCTCTCTCTCTCTCTCTCTCTCTCTCTCTTTGTCCTCACCTTTTCTTATGCAACAAGGGGCGAGATTTGTCCAGCCAATCCACACACACTTGTTAGGAAAGAGAGTCTTACGTTATCGTTGATTTGATTCGAGATTCGTTCCTGTGTTCTTTATGAAGAAGCGAGAAGAGGGCGAGCAGTGAGCTGATGGAGTTGGTTAAGGAGGAGTGAGCTGAAGGAGTCGATAAGGAGTTGAAAAAAAAGGAAGTAGTGGATAAGGAGTGGATAAGGTTTGAAAAAAGAAAAGAAAAGTAGTAGTCGTCGATATGAAGGAGTTGAGGAGTATCAATGATCATGATGGGAAAAGATTACTCCATCCAACGGCTCCGATGGGAGACAACAACTGGTAGATCATCTGCGGAGCAGCATTCCATGGAAGAGACAACGACCGGTAGTTCATCTGCGGAGCAGCGATCCGAATGAAGCTGAAATTAGAAGTTGGTGGTAAATACCAAATATATTGAGTACCTATCATCGGGGGGGGCTGCAGGACAGGCGGGAAAAGTTACATTTGTCGGCAAGTTCTGTGGCGGGAAAAGTTACCTTTGTCGGCAAGTTCAATGGCGGGAAACATCGGAAGTTTTTCCCGCCATTTTTCTTTTTTCTCGTAGAACCCACTGATTGCTGCCACAGTCTGATCATCTTCATTCCTGCTCACTTGTTCTCGAACGCAGCCACGTCATCCTTGAGTGCCAAGCTCTGCACATCTGGAATTTGTCAATTTTTTGACCATCCATCCGTCGTGTAGCTACCCATAATCCATCCCTTGATTGATGCAAGCTTTTGCCGTCCATCAGCTCAGAGTGTTCTTATCGTTCCAACTTACTCCCTACCCTCCTCCTCCCCTCTCTCTCTCTGTCTGTCTTCTTTCTCACACTCTCTTTCTCCCTCTCTCTCTCTTTCTCTCTCTCGGATTTTCTGACGCGTTCAGTCTCTTCTCCGGGTACGCAAGTAGTCACACTCGCCTCGTTCAGCCTCTCTCTCTCTCTCTCTCTCTCTCCTCGGGACGTACTCGCACTACCACTTCCTGGATGTATCTGACCGCAATTACGTCCAGGGATCAGTCAAAATAGTCGTAGTCTGATTATGCCCTCACTTACAGTATTAGGTCTGATTTCCCATCAGTCACTCGTTTTTCCCTTTCCCGCCAGTGTTGTCCCGATCCCAATCTTGCATGCCATCTCCTCAGCCGCCCGTCGCTACAAGTGAGAGTCTTCGCAGCCTGGTCGCCTGCCTCGTCTGAGTACCGATTAGATCTGTTGTCAGGAGAGAGAGAGAGAGAGAGAGAGAGAGAGAGAGAGAGAGAGAGAGAGAGAGAGAGAGAGAGAGAGAGAGAGAGAGAGA